TACGGGGGCAGTGGTTGCTCACTTTCGATATCATCAATAGGGGCGTTCACTGTCCGCCTTGTCGCCAAGCCCAGCAAGTCATGGTGCCACCCTAGCTGGCGGTACACTATCACGCTGATTATATGCGATCGCTGCAAGGAAAGCAGTTTGTTGGAAATCGACGGTGGCTATTGCATTAAGTAAAGTCAGGGTGTGCTCTGTTCGAACACGACCTTTTTAGGCCACGTAGTTGCAGTTTAGGCAGAGAGGGAGAGGCCCAGTGACTTATAGGGGTGGTCAGGTGGTGCAGAGAGTTTACTGCTATTGGGTCAGGCTAACATGACACACGATCTGTGTTGTACTCGTATTGAGCTGCTGCAGCGCCATCTTGCTGCACACCCCTGCCTTGTTGGGTTGTTGACTGGTGGGTGCCGCTGTGCACCTTGTTGGGCACCAACTGTGCCTGGCAGTGCACTGTTGTTGAACTGGGGACTGCCCCTTGCGGTACACTACGGCAATACCGCGCTACTACCTCCCTTGACGGTGGGTACTGTAATGTTAACCGGCTATTGCTGCTCCTGTTTCACGGTAGCAGCCTTAGGACCGTCCTCTCTTATGTGCCTAAGCAGTCTCGGGGTTGCTGTTGGTTACCACAGACAGCCACTGTGCACTATTCCTGTTCCTTCTTACGGCAGGGTCCTTGCAGCGACTAAGGGGGCGGACGGGGAACTGTCACACTTCAAGGTTTGGTACTATTACAGGGCGCTCGGGTTTCTGAGTATTCGACAACGACTGCGGCAGGCAGGGTTGCTGCTGCAAGACGGTGTCATTCGCCTCGCAGTGCTGCTGAGTGGGACGTTGGGCCTCAGTGAGAACAGCAGCGACGTTGGCTGACCGGAGAGGGCACCGTGAAAAAGGGAAATGTGGTGACGTTGGGAGTGAGATCCGACCTCATCAGGGGGCTTATGGTTGTGGTGTTGGAGGCCGTTTGAGGGATGTTACTTTGGGTTCGACTGCTATTGGAGCGTCTCGACTGCGCTATTTTTGGCCATCATTGCGGGGCCCTCAGGAGCATCCAGATTCCAAGGCCCTCTCACTGTGAGTTGAGTTGTCCCTCTCTTGGATCTCGAGAGTCTATTCTATCTGCCTCTACCCTTTTTACTCTCAGTCTGGTATTTGGTTACGAGAGGAAGGCGGCAGGCGGGATTGCAACCCGTAGGTCCGCACCAAGGCCTCTGTGGGAGGTTGCCCCACCGATTGCGGGAGCTCTGCCGGAACACAGGCGGTGTTTTGGAGGCAGGGAACTTCAGGTATATCTTCGTTAACATGTGCGATCCCTTCCCCTATGTATTATCCCTGGGCTATCTGAACTTAGCTACGTGAAGCTATTACTTTTCTCTTTTGTTATGGATGTCAGGACATGCATTGTAAAGGGTAAAGGAACAAGTATATGAGAGATCAGATGTCTAATTGAGTGAATGCAGACAAGGATGAACTGGGGAAGGTGGGCTGAAGGTTGCATTGCATGTCTTGACTGGGTCAACCAAAGGTTGAACCCCTCTAGGTTGAGTGGGTTCAGTGCTCTGTTTATTTTATGTTTGTGGAACTGACTGTATGATTTTGAGGGTTGGACCTATCCTAGGTTGGACGGACCATCCGATGTTTCTTTTTGGGGTTTCTGAACAGGAGGATGAGCGCCCTAGGTTGGGATGTCTCCGAATCCTGATGTTTCTTTTGTGGGTTCTTGAAACAGAACTGGGGCATTCTAGGTTGCGTGACCCCAGTCCTGTGTATTTTTTCTAAGGGAGCAAAGGCATAAGACTGAGCGTACCCTTAGGTTAGGGCGTCTCAGCCATAAGCCATGAACATAAGTGTCACCTTGAGTATAAAATTCGGATATATGTACTATTGAACTATTATTTCTGACAGACCGGGCACCCTAGGTTGGGAAAGTCAGTCAATAAGTGAGGTAGCAGTAAGAAGAAAAAGAAAGTAAGTGAAACGTATAAAGGAGGAAACTCGGGCAGGCTGGACGTACCCTTAGGTTATGGCGGTTAAGTCCTATGCTCGTAATAACACAAAAGGTCAGAGAGTTTGTATAAACTTGCTTTTATTTTTCCTTCTAAACACAAAGCAGAGTTGGATGTCTCCTTAGGTTGGGTAGGTCTGACTATCTGCCTAAGAAAAAAAGGAAAATCATAAAGTTCGTGCAAGTATTCGTGGTTGCTTAAACTGTTGTTACGGAGGCTAAGCATACCCTTAGGTTAGGGCGGCTTAACCATACGTCATTGTACTTTGTTCAAGCAGATCATGCCTTATGTGACTTAAACCGTGTAAGCTAACTAGGCGTACCCCTAGGTTGGGGCGGCCTTGCGATATGCTTTTGTCGTTGATGTTCTGTGGGTTGGACGTACCCTTAGGTTAGGGCGGTCCAACCATCCATCGTTCGTGTATGTGCTAGGCAGGTTAAGCATACCCCTAGGTTGGGGCAGTTTAACCCTATGCCATATGTAACCTTGTTTAAGGCTGGCTAGACACACTCCTAGGTTGGGGCAATCTAGACCTATGCTTCATGTCGTCAGTTAAGCAGAAGTCAGACAAACCCTTAGGTTAGGGCAATCTGGTCTTATGCTTTATATATATAGTTTATGCTAGGCACACCCTTAGGTTAGGACAGCCCGGTTGAGCGTACTTTACTTGTTTACCTAGGCATGTCAGGCATACCCTTAGGTTAGGGCCTTGCTTGATCCTATGCCCTAAGTGAGGGGGACGTAAAAGGGAAGAACTGGGGGATCTCACGAACTACGTGGCTGAATCAATGTGGGATTGTGAGAGATGTTTGTGCATGCATGCTTGTGGGCTCTCACCCGGGAGATCTTTTGGATAGAGCAGTTGTTGTAGATGCTCGCTGAGTGCTGGAGCCATAGACAGTTGAGATGGATGATGAGAGGGAAGTTTGGGACGAGATAGGACTGACCCTGTTGGAGGTTAGGATCAGCATTGATTCATGGCCTCATTCAGAGGGCATGCAAACTAATGTTGATCCTGAGCTACCAGGCAGAGATCAGAGATTAATCCCAAGTATAGTTTTGTCTTGTATTTCTAGTTTCAGCTCTGTATAAATCTTGGTAGCCTCCTGTCCCTACGGGAAGCGCTGCCGAAATTTCTGCAAAACTGAAGGAGTTAGTCATTTTGGGCTCGTAGAAATTTTGGGTAAGCACTTTTTCTACGGGAAGCGCTGCCAAAATTTCGTAAAAATACAGGAGTTAGAATATTTTCAGTCAGGTAGAGGAGTTAGGATGTGAGGAGTGCTCCTCGCCTGAGCTGAACCTAGGAGTAAATTCCCTTTGACCTGTGCTGTGGTGCAGGCCTGTGCGTTTATTGGAAGGTCTGACTTTGTCAGCCTGACTCCTTTTCTGTTATCACTGATAACAAGTCGGTTGCTGATCCGTCGGTTTACGACTCAGCTACGACCCACCCTCAATACTCATCCTTAAAAGGCTTTAGCCCTGGTGATTTTATTTGTTTTGTTAAGGTTTCACCCAGACTTTTATTGAATGGCCATTTAACAGAGGTACTGAGTACTTAATTATGGGTGGTTGGCTGGAGGTTAGGGCTTGCATGGCTAAAGCACAGGGGGTGAGTGGACAGGTTGGTTGGAGTTGACTCCGTGTAGTGCGTGGATCTTGGTTGATGCTGTGATGTGATTGCAGGTATGTATGGAAGAGTATCATCTGGGTTATGTTGAGTRATCGTGTSTTGGAKTCAGATGGGCAAACCACACAACTGTTGTGAGAGTGAACTACCCYACAACCCACTTGTTTGAGTGAGACGGTTMTGTTCTCGTTTCAATGGGGTGGTAATAAATGTGCGTTCGGGTAACCCCTATAAGGCTAATCCCGACAATGTATTTCTTGATGATGCTAAGGGTAGTTATTTTATCCTCGTTGGAGTTTCTTTTGGTGGAACGATAGAGCCCCAGGCGGAAGGGTTAGCGTGTTTCCGGTGGTGCACCAGACAACTCACCACCACTCCAATTTCCTTTCTACTCTAGGGGTCGTCTTACCCCGCACCCTTTGGGGCAACCCTTGAAGTTATCAAAAGCCGCAAGGCTACGAGTACATCAGAGTACCCCATCAGCGCGAATGCTTGCGAATGCCCGCATGGCTGGTTGTCATGAGGAGGCCATGCGCTCGGTCGACTCTTATACGAAAACTCAGCTCGCGACGCCTATCTGGTTCTGTTGCGTAAAAGTATGGGTCGGATACTGAAGGGACTAGGAGTTGTGGTGTTGTGGCGTTGTTTGTGGCGGCCGTTCTCTGTGTATTTCTGTATGTAATGAGTGGGTAAGTATGAGTATCGTGGTGTAGCGCGTGGTGAGAGTAGTGCGTCCTAGTCGACCGACGCCGAGTCGCGTTTGGGATTTCAGCGCCTCAGTATGGCGATTCGCGTACGGGTTCGATCTTTGGGCGTTCGACCGCGCGTAACCCTCTATTCTACAGCGAACGAGAAACGCCTTCGGTTGGGCCACCTCTACAATTGCATACGAAAAGCTTTCGCATGTGGTTCCGTAGCCCGGCAGGGATACACCCACCTAAGGGATGGTGACAACTCCCGCAGGTGGAGGTAGCGGTGTCTCGCGTGACTCTGACCTGTCGTAGGGGCTCGCGAGAGGTACGGCTGGCGCACTCGGCCGGAGCGGCAAACGCTCTCCACGGCAAGTCCTGCATAATCCTGCGTGACGCGGCCGGGAGGGTCCCCATGTGGGACCGATGCGCTCGACAGGTGGCGCCGTTGCCGGGGATCTCGGCTGCCTACCGGGGTCCTTAAGGGAACGAACCCAGGTGAAGTGCAGGCGGAGGATCTAGGCAAAACGACAAGAAGTTATAGGTTGGATTGTCATGTATAAGAGGGTTATATATGAAGTCATAATAAGACTGAGTGATATATAGTGCGACTGAAGGGTGTGTCTTGGGCGTGAATAACTAATGGTAGAGCGACTAGCTGAGCTTAGAAGTAGAGTGGTCAAGAATGACGTAGGGCAAGCCCTCTGACACTTGACAAGCTGCTTACCGGTACTTCCCTTGTCACCCCTATCAGGTTGGTTAGTGAAAAGCGGTGAAGATGCCGGACGCCGATGGAATCGAGCAGGGCCCGGCTGCTACGCCAGAGGACTTTGTCAAGGCTGTCGAAAAAAGGGAGTTGGCAAGGCTACAAGTACCAAAAATTGACATCTTCCACTTTGAAGGGGAAAGGGTGTCAAAATGGCTGGAGCTCCTGGAACAGATTACAGCTGAGGTGCCAGAAGCGGATAAGTTCAAATACCTACCTCGATACATCTGGTGGGAAATTCAGCCTGAGATAATGAAGGTAGCTGCTGGAGCAGGGGGAGACTGGGCAAAGTTCAAGGCTGAAATGCAAAGGCAGTTCAAGCTAGGAGATGGCATGCTGACAAAGACGGATCTGGAGATGCTACAGCGAGATGAGTTCTCCACGGTGGGGGCATTTGCAACAGCCTTCGAGAAGATGGTGAAGAAAGTCCCAGGATTGGCAGAAGAGGAACAGTGTGCTACCTTCCTGGGGGCACTTCAAAAATTGGGAGGCCTCCTCGCTTACCAAGAAGGCTGCTCCAAGGATACTTGGGCGGCCATAAAGGAAGGCGTAATTGACGGAGAACTGGACCAGGTAGACATCTTCCAGATGAGGCAGGCAAGGAAGAAAAGGAAGGCCTTAGACGCTACGACGAGTGATGGGCGCGACTTCAAGAAAATGATAGAGGACGCGGTGGCCCAGCTCGACACAGAGAAGGAGGCAACGAGGAAAACTATGGCGGCACCACAGACCCAAGGGAAAGAAAAAAAGGCGGTGGTGCAGGAAGAAGAAGAAGAGGAAGAGGACGAGGAGCCTGAGCCACAGAAGTTGACAAAGGCTCAGAGGAAGGCAAGGAACTTGGCTCAGGGGGGGCAAGGCTCAGGGACTGTCTCTTATACACATCTAGATGTGTATAAGAGACAGCCACAGACCCAAGGGAAAGAAAAAAAGGCGGTGGTGCAGGAAGAAGAAGAAGAGGAAGAGGACGAGGAGCCTGAGCCACAGAAGTTGACAAAGGCTCAGAGGAAGGCAAGGAACTTGGCTCAGGGGGGGCAAGGCTCAGGGAGGGGTCAGGTCCCGCAACCAATAGCCATGCCACCTCCTGAGTCGCCTAGTTAGGCCGCATCAGCGCAATACGGGCCATGGCCAGGTTGTGGACCTCCAAGTCACTGGCATGGGCATTGTTCATATGCACCATGGCCGATGAGTGGGCCGCATGGGTCATGTGTCGGACCACCGATGAGCACAGCTTCCTGCGGCTGCCCGGGACCCCAAGCTCAGCAGGTGAGCCACCCAACCCACCGCCTAACAAACCTCAGCAGTCAGCCCCACAAGGATCGCAGGGCAACCAAGAGGGTGAACGTGGTCAGAATCAAGGATGGGGCCGAGGGCGAGGGAATGGTGGCCGGGGAGGAAACGGCCGAGGGAATGGTGGTGGTAACGCTGTAGGCGGGGGAAGCGACAGCTGGACAGCATCCGGGAGTCAAGGTGGCCAGGAAGGTGGAAGAGGTGCTGGCAGGGGGAGAATAGATTGGAGGAACGTCATTTGTTGGCACTGCGGGCAGAAAGGTCACACTATTAAGTTCTGCCACGTAAGGAGGAATGATGAGGACGAAGGCCTAATCAGCACCAACTATGATGGGGATATGTACGATAAGTGGGGGTACCACCTTGATCCAAGGACCCCAGGCGGGACAAGGGAGGAGGCTCTACGACGAGCCGAGGCAGGTGAACCACCCGCTCCTCCAGCCATGTTTCGGATGTGGCAGGAGAAAAAGGTCCGCAGTGATATCAGGGTTGAAGAGGTAGGAGAGAACGAAGAGGTGGAGCAAGAGAGGAAAGGCGACACTACTAAGGCAGAACCCATCATAGTAGAGTCTGATGATGAGATAGAAGTAGATTGCTGGAACAGGCCGCGACGTGCTGAGACAGGGGAAGATTACTGGAGGACGGCCCGACAGACAATGGAGAGAATGGAGGACTTGATAGATAAAGTCGGGAGGTACCAACAAAAGTTAGCCGACATGTGTGAAGAGGTCAAGGGGTGGAAAGGTAAAGAGCCGTCAGTATATCTCTACGATCTCGGTCCAGAGTCGCAGGGGGGATCTGGCAACTTACCAAATGTCACAACCTCGGGGTCGGCGCCGCGATCCGGAATGACCTTCAGACCACCCTCCAGAACGGGGAGGGCGCCACAGGCTGTTAGGACAAGGGCTAAAGGGCCAGTGAGCCTAGAGGCGCCAGCTAAGGACATTTCCGAGCCGAGTGGAGAAAAGAAAGTTGTGGACGTTCCGGAAGAAGAGGATGACGAGGATGACAGGTTGAGGAAAGACGAGAATGAAAAGGCCGAGCAAAGGGCCAAGAAGAGAAGTGTCAAGCCGAACACAGATAAGGCAAAAGAAGTAAAGAAGAAGAAATACGCGGTTCGAGTGGAAGAGGGGTTTGACGTGGAAGAGATAATGGACAGGATTATCGAAGGTCATAACCATCTTATGAACCTGAAGGACGCCCTGGCCTCAGCGCCTAGCCTCAGGGATGAGCTAAGGGCACGACTATCCAGCAAAGTGGTAGCCAGCGTACGGTTAGGGACTATAATCCCTAAGGAGGCCGAGTGGGCCGAGACAGGCGCGAAAATGGACTGGAAGTCAGTAGCCTGTTGATGCCTCGATGTGGTGGTAAAAGGAAAGACGGGCACATCAATGGTGGATAGCGGCGCCGAAATGAACCTCAGAGGCGCTGACTCTAAGCTTGGCGAACATAGGCGACGCTATGGATATAGTGTCGACCTACGGGATGGCGGATCCAGAGGCTATGGAGGCCTTGAGGGAAAAAGTAGTAGAGCAAATGGGCGCAGGGGAGATGGAATTGGTGTATCGGACACCTGGGAAGACAGATGGAACGAGTGGAGCACAACCCCAAAGCGCAACTCGACCTTTTTTAGGGGTGGGCTCAAGCAGGGTGCCCAAAGGCGGTACAAAAAGGTAGACCAAAAGTGTTGCCCCGTTCCCGTACTCATTACTGAAGAACAGGAGGTATACTACGAGCGGGAGCGAGAGTTGATACGGCAGATGCGAAAAAGGGCGGAGAGTGGGCCATGCCGTATCAATGCCGAGACAGAGAAGGCGCTGATCATAGGGGAGTCTGACTTTCTTACAGTGCATGAGGAAAAATTTGTGGTGAACACCATAAGAGGAAGGCATGCTGCATACGCCTTCAGTGATGATGAGAGAGGCCGACAATGATTAGGATACATACCGTACCCCACGAACCGTGGAACTTGCGAGGTACGAGGTACCCTAATCCCGCTGACGAAGAGAAGGTGGTCAACTACCTTGATGGGAAGATTCGCACTCATGTGGCAGATTACTCGAGCGGACCGTATGCATCCCCATGGTTTTGTTTTGTCAAACCCAATGGGACGCTGAGGTGGGTACAGGATTTATAGCGCCTGAATGCTGTGACGGTGAGGGACACAGGGGGCCTCCCCAACGCTGATGCGCTTGCGGAGGTATGCGCTGGGAGGGTCATCATATCCCTCATTGGCTTGTATTCAGGCTACGATCAGTTCCCTGTATACCCGTCTGACCGGACTATGACAGCCATGCATACCCCTCGAGGGTTGATCCACATGAACGTCGCACCTCAGGGGTGGACGAATGCGGTCACTATGGTCCAGCGACACATGGTGAGGGCGATGCAGCCCATAAGTCCTCACATCACACAACCCTACATCGATGATCTGGCCGTGAAGGGGCCTAAAGAGAAGGATGAGCAGGATGTGAGGCCAGGGGTCAGACGCTTCGTCTGGGATCATGTGCAGGATTTGTGCAAAGTCCTAGACTTGCTGAAGAAGCATAACCTTACTGCAAGTGGATCGAAGTCTAGGCACTGTATGAGTGGGGTCACTATCTTGGAATTCGTGTGCGACGAGAAGGGTCGTCGGCCGGATACTAAGAAGACCAACAAGATCCTCGAGTRGCCGACACCGTTCCAGACTATCACGGAGGTGAGGAGCTTTCTGGGAACGTGTGGGTTTTGGAGGATCTTCATAAAGGGGTTTGCGACGAAGACGGAGCAGTTGCGAAAGCTTGTGCGGCAGGGTCAGGATTGGGAATGGGGTGACCGGCAAGAGTCTGTGATAAGGGAGTTGAAGAAAGAGTTTGAGGAAGGAGGTCTAGTACTGGGAGTACCGGATCATTCGACGGTAATGACTAGGCCTTTCATCGTGGAGACTGACGCAGGGCCGACTGCGCTGGGAGGTATGTTGATCCAGCGAGATCCTAACAGGGAGGAACGACCACTGAGGTTTGATCGCCGGACACTCAATACGTCTGAGAGAAACTACTCTCAGTTCAAGCGCGAGACCTTGACGGTTCTTCACTGCTTAAGAATTTTCAGAAACTACCTCTTTGGCAGTAGGTTCGTGTTGAGGGTGGATGCTACGGCGCTGGTCGACTCTCTCAAGAACTTCGCTCCTTCATATGCCACTATCGCCAGATGGCTAACATACATCTGGATGTTTGACTTTGAGCTGGAGCGGATTCCCGGGACCAAGAATAGAGCAGACGAGTTGAGTCGCGTCAACTGGGACAAGAACAATCAGGGAGTGATCGAGGATACTCCACCAGTCGACGGGTTTTTGGACAACGAGGAGGATGTGAGACTTCACATCAACTCCTGGGCATTGGCCGTGGGTAAGTACGTTACTCCTGGGCAACCTGTGTGGCTTACGCCTCCGGGGCATGTAAGACGGCCAGACTTAGTCCTCAAGACCTATGTCGAGGAAGACTCTTGGGGAATGTCGAACGTGGGCTGATGGAGTTGGCTTTAGCCAGTAAGTACGAGCTACAGGAAGACCCGATCACGATTGAAAATGGAGCGCTACAGGTGGGTAAGCACTAGAAGATGATAGGTGGGGTATACCTGTTGGCAAATGCGCTGCTTCAGGAAGAGATGATCAGAAATACAGTACTAGACCAGGAAGAGGAGGTAGACCCGGGAGGAGGTGACAATGTGATCCACGAGAGGGAAGATGATGGTTTTGAGGAAGGTGAGATTAAAGAAGCCTTCCGAGCAGCGGAATATGAGGGAGTATACCTTGAGCTCGGAATGCTGCTGTCATGTGAGATGAGGGAAAGGGATGCCTGCGCACGAGTTTTGAAGATGAGGCCAAGTTTTCTGGTAAGGGACGGCCATCTGTTCATGAGGAGCAAAGGAAGGGACCCCAGAAGAGTGGTTTGCGGCCTCGCTCGTCAGATTGACATTATGGCGGCACTGCACGACGGTACGGCAGGGGGTCACAGGTGCGCGGATACGACGTATTTGAAGATACACGAGCTGTACTATTGGGATGGCATAGGGCAGATGATCGACGACTATTGTAAGTCTTGTGTACCATGCCAGGAGCGGTCTGCTCTTAGACCTAGAGAGCCGTTGCACCCAAGGTATGTACGTGAGGTTGGAGCAGTCATGCACTTGGACCTCCTGGCAATACCGCTGGGAATAGGGAGCTACAACTTTATCTTTGATGCAAGGGACAACCTCTCTGGGTTTGTGAATGGCAGGGTCATTCGCACAAAGACAGGTGAGACGCTGACCCGGTGCATTGAAGAATATTATCTTCGCTATCCCTTTGTTTCTAGGTTTGTGATGGATAGAGGATCCGAGTTCACATGTGCAGAGGTAAAGGCTCTATTGAAGAAGTATGGGGTAATCGCTGAGTACACCACTGTAGCGCACCCTCAAGCTAATGCACCTGTGGAGAGAGGGCACAACACCATCACTAACCTTCTCGCCAAGTGGACCGATGGCAGGCCTAATCAGTGACCAAACTTTTTAAGGGTCGCTTTCTTCGTGAACAACATCACCATCAGGAGGAGTACCGGCTACGCACCGGCCACATTATGGTACGGCACGCACGCGACGTTCCCTATCGAAAGCTTCCTGAAAACCTAAAGGCGACAGGACCTCGAAACGGATCTGACGTTTGAAGAACCGCTGGATTTGAGAGCACGTCAGATTGGTGCTATTGAGGACAGGATTGAGGAAGCAGCGAGTAGGACAGCGGACCGCCATACCAAGGACAAGTTCCGGTGGGATAAGATGGCAAGGATAAGGAAGAAGCCCCTCAAGTGGGAGACATTGTATTGCTGTATGACTCATCCCTGGAAAAGCAGTGGTCTCGAAAGTTGGACAAGAGGTGGTTGGGACCATACAGGGTCGCCAGGTGTGGAGAGCGCGGCGCATACCAAATTGAGGAGCTGAATGGGACCGCTTGGAAGGACTGGGTGTCAGGCTCGAGGTTGAAGAAATTTGTCGCTCGAGACGAGGTGAGCCTGGATCTCACAAGTTAAAGTCATTTTCTCTCGTTAAGTATGTCTTTCTGATGGGGGTATCAATATAGAAAGATTGTATGAACGTTCATTAGAATGATATGATAGGTTATAATGTTAGGATAGTACGTATGTATGTGTGTGTATGCCGGTGTAGGCATCTAGGTTAGATGGGGAGGGGTGTGTCTATCTCTCACTGTGTGTCGAACCTGCTTACACTCTGTGTGCTTTGGCTTGTCTCTTCCTTGTTGTGCAGGCTTGACACCATTTGGCGAAGTCATGCCAAGAGGGAAGGGAGAGGCAAGGCCAGTGGAACCCCCTCAGGGGGCAGCCAGACAGAGAATGCAGGGATGAACCAGGAGAGAAGACAGGTCACCCATCTTAAGAGGAGGGAACGTGGAGTTGTTTTTTGTCGAGTTTGAGAAGCATGCTAGCGATTTCAGATGGGATAGAGCCAGGATGCTGAGACAGATACGAGGAGAGGGCGAGTGGGTTGAGGTCATTGCCAGATATGTACAGGAGTCGGCGACCTGACAGAAGTTCGAAAGGAATGTGGAAGGGATACATCCATCACTTGTGGGGAGAAATGAAGTGCCAATCCAGTTCGATGGAACGAACCTGGATGAGTTCTTGTGGGCTTATGACCGATTTGCAGACTAGCAGAACATTGCACCTGAGACCAGAGTGAGAGGGTTCCTCCAGTTCGTGAGGAGGCCTATCAGGATGTTCGTCAGGAGCGTTGTGGAAAGAGCGTTGCATTGGGGAGATTGCAGGCGGTTACTGAGGAGCTACTATACTCCCACACGCCAGGCAGAGGATAGAAGAAGCATGGAAAGGAAAAGGAAAGAGCCTGAGGCAGAAGGCAGAACGACTTTTGAGAGAGGTGCCTCCTCGAGGTCTCAGGAGGGAGAAAGAAGAAGAGAGCACGCTTCCCACAGGACAGAGAAAAGAGAGGAGCAGCCCTCTGAGAGGGCGCAGAGGAGGAGAGAGCTAGAGGCACCTGAGGCTCCTCCTCAATCTACTCAGAGGCAGGAGGATCAACCAATGACAGAGGCAAGACCAGACGGGCCTCATTAGTCACCCAGGCAAGAGATGGATAAGGATCAGGCTGCAAAAGAGAAGGAGTTAGAAAAGCAAGAAAGAGCCGCCAGAGAGCAGGAGATCAGAGAGGAAATCGGGAGGAAGAACCTTGAAGAACTCCACAAGAGAGTGGAGCAGGGAGAACGGTCAGTGAACTTGAAAGACAAAAAGGGGGAGAGTGTAAGCAGCCAGCAGGAAGAAGATCCTCCCTTACTCTCGGAAGCGTGGGAGAACTTTGACAAGCTGGTGGAAGCTGCAAAGGGACCAGGAGCGCACCAGCAGGAGATGGGGGTGAAGTTGATCTTTGCAGACTTGCTCACCCTGAAAGGAATGATGAAGGAAGGGTTCGCTGCAGCTAAGGCATCAGATCAGAAGGTTGGAGAGAGACTCACCAAGGTGGCTCAGAAGGCATATGGTCAGAGGGTGGAATGGGAGCGAGAGATTAAGGACCTGAAGGAGAATTAGGAAAGGCAAGACCGTGAGTTGGACACCCTGAAGAAGGAGCTGGGAAAGCAAAGCCAGGAAATGGAAGCAGCAAAGGCAGAGATGGCCAAACTTTGGGCAGACAACGAGGCCATCAGAGAGGTCAACCAGACCCTCAACAAGGTCAACGACACTCTGAGGACCTACTTGCAGGTACAACATAATGTTTTTCAAGCGAAGGAAGCTAAGTGGGAAAAGAGGATAGAGAACCTTGAGGCCAAGTGTGCACAGCTGGCGCCGACTACAGTGGTGGACTGGACTGAGGTCCAGGGGTTCGAGATGAAGAGGCCGCCTGCAGAAGACACCTTCAGGAGCCAGAAAGTGGAGGAGGGGGCTGATCTACAGGAAGGAGAGGATGTACCTCTGCTGGACAAGGAGATGCTGCAACCTGAGGAAGTGAGCGCAAAGGACGAGGCAAAGGGTGGAGAATCTGAGTGGCAGATGCCCTCTATCGTAGCACTCCACCGGTTTCGTGAGGGACTTGGTGCGGCACAACAGGCAGAGACTGCAAGGGATGAGAGGATGTTGCTTATCGCCCAGGAGGTTGCTGAGGAGCAGGTGGCTCAGAGGGTTGAGGAGGAGATTGAGCAGGGAGCAGGTCAGGGGATCTGCCAGGAGTCTATTATACCGCAGGATATGCCTATGGTTGCAGACTTAGAGGAGGCATTGGGCTCATGGGCCACTAGATCTGGGTCGGAGGCACCGGCGAGCGGTCCAGTGATACAGGAAGGAAATAGAGCTGCCTGCCCCGTTCCATCAGAGACCCCTCAACAGGAGGTCACGAGCGAGATCACGACAGTCCCCTCATCGGTGCCCTCGCAGAGCGAAGGCAAGATGTCCCAGAAGAAGCCTGGCAAGTGCTTCTACTGCAAGAGGGGCAAGCATAGGGCTGATGACTGTTCCAAGAGCCTCAAAGATGAGTTAGATGGCTTGGTCACAAGGGAGGCATCTGGGAGGTGGAGAGATAGGGATGGGAACTTAGTTCCTAAGACTCATGATGGGGTGAGGACGCAGTTGTACAGGCAGCTGCTGATAGAGATGAGCGATCAGGAGTAGGATCTTCTAATAAGGTCCAGAAAGGTCTAAGTCTAGGGTATATGCGAGACGTCTCTGACTCACCGACTGATGGTTACTTGTATATAGAGGGATACTTGGAGGATTCGATCAGACCCATGTACATCAGTGAGCAGGGTCAGTAATGAGGTGTTATATCGCATTATAGACTTGAGGACCCTCTTTGTACATAAGATAAAATTGAGTATAAGTTGACTGCTTTTTCTTTTGCCAACGTGACGCAGAGTGTTAATACCCTTGTTAAATAACCCCCGTGCATGTGGAGCGACTGTCGAGTCTTGGATACTTCGACGCTTGGGTACCATAACTTTTGTTGGATACCTGTACTTTTTGTATAATAACCTTGATTTTTGTAATGAGGACATGAGCCTTTGTTCATTGCAAGGCCCTATGTCCTGAGTGTATACGTGAGTCTCAACCTTTGTCACAGTGTCGTGTGTGGTGTGTCACACTCACTCTCGGTTTGTGAACTTACCCATATGGATGATGATATGATGAAATGAATGTTGCGAGATTGACTGATATGCGCTTCCTTCCACTATACTTGCGCACCCCTGTCATAATGACGAGTGGGGCCGGAAGTATAGGGGAAAGGAGTGCTCTCAGATTATTGAGACAGTGATGATATGCTTTACCCAGCTCGATTGGTGAGGAATGGAGAGGTCGCAACTAAAGTTGTGCCTTTTGTGTATGATTCAGAAATGAGAGGGGGGAAGTCCAGTGGCCGATTGGACTTTCTTAAAAGGATGGAATTTTGTGAGGGCACTCAGAAGAGTTGCTATAAGTGATGATAACTGTTTGCATGTATGTGAAAGTCTAACGAGGAAACACCAGGTATTTTGTGAAAATCATAGATGGAAATTTCTGGCAATTATGTTGGAACTTGGAGAATATTGTGAGTATCCCTAAAAAGATGTGTGACCCCACCTGCTTCTGATCAAAGTAAGGGAGGCACGACCCTGTGGAATTATTGAGGATCTTAGTGAAATATTGAGAAAGGCGCGATCCCTCCACGTAGTCCCGTGGACGGTGGTATGTGATCCTTTGATTATTGTTGTGAAAGAAAGTGTCAGACCACATGGGTTAGTCTAAGGGACGTATTGTGAGGCCAGGCTAAGAGGCTATACTTAGCATCGCTGGAACTGTAGAACCTAACTCCCAGCGAGGGTCGATGATCGGCACAACCTGGCAGCGGGACCATGACTTACCGAAGGTTAAGTCTTGAAGGGTCGGCCACCCGGAGAGGTTTAGCCGGAGGGAAGGCCATTGGGGTCGACTAGGTCAAAGAGTCAGGACCCTTTGGGGTGTCAAGATAGAGAAAAGTTGCTTATCGTTGCGTAACCAACGAGGGCACCATCGCTACATAACAACGTGGTGGGCCGTGGATTCAGCGTGATCGACCGGTCCATGGTGGGCCAAGATGGAGACCTGAAGCCACCTGTGTTAGACTCCAGGCTGGACGTTCATTGTGATTTGAGATGGTAGACACTACCATGGGGGCGGCTAAAGGCGCCCCGTGTTTTGAGAGGTCGCGATTAAGGCCCGCGTCCTGAATTATGACCCCGTTCGCGGGACGATGACTAAACAGGACACCCAACGGCGAGCCGACAGATGTCTACGACGAAGGGAGAGGACTATCAACCTACTACCTGGGAGCGGGTAGTACGCTGTAGTACGGAACAAAGTATCCCCTAGCTCCAAGGCCAGGACATGGGAGACCCAGGTTGGAACCCTGGCAGTGGAACGTCATGACGGGAACAGGGTGATGAGGTAACCTCGAATGGAGTCGAGCCGGTGAACCGGATTGGTCATTACCTTGTCAGCAAGATGTGATTATGTTATAGCTATGATTGTCCGACGCGACGGGGACGTCGCTTAATAAGGTCCGAAAAACTGTCGGCCCGAATACCCTTACAAGGGTATTTGGGCACGTTCTTGCATCTCACAGGAAGAGCACGTCTGACGATACCTGAGGGCGCATCCCATCTGTATTGATTAGAGAGTATGTGGGCGTGCACTTTGTGGGCACGCGCTAACCTGACCGAGCCAGGGTCGAGGAAGGCCATGCGACGCCGGTAGAACAATTGTAGAGTTTCTGAGGCGGCCGCAGCCTCGCACGTACGGGCGACGTTACGAGCGGCATCGCGTTGACCGGGTAGGACTGTGACCAGAAAAGAATGTAGTCTGACTTGCAGGGGACCGGCATATCAAGGTCGCACCACTTAGAGTTACATGGGCACTGGGATGCCTGCGTCAACGATAGCAAAAGTCGTCGCGGGTGCTAAGCAAGGGCGACACTAAGCAGCGCCATGAGCAGGGTTTTTCGGCGGAGAGGTGGTAGACAGGAATCGTAGCAGGTCGTGAGGAGCCCGACACGCTGCCGTGTCGTAGTTGAGCCAGCGCAAGTGGTGAACCAGCGGAGCTATGCCTTCAGGATTGCCAAGTGCAGCCTTAGGGGACCGAGGACGCAGGTCGTACGTGGGAAAAACGGCCTGAGGTACCGTTTGCTGGTCTGGGCTGGCTTGCCATGCCATTAATATGGAAGGTTGCGCCTGCTACCTCCAGGCTGGGGCTTAGCCCTATAGGTTATGTCATCGAACTATCACCAGGCGGATCTCGAGATCGAGGCCAGCAGCAAGCAGCGGAGGAGCGGAGGAGTGCAAGAGAACCGAGGGGTTGAGGGTCCCGCAGGACTATCCCCCTTGGTTTTTGTTGGGAAGTTCGGTGGCGGGCCCGCTGTCGGGCGCAATCGGTCCGGCACCGCACGGGGCAGCGC